TTTCTTTCTTTATAGCGTAGCCTTTCTGATCGTTTTGCAAAAACTTTAAATTCTCTTTGCTTGGGTTGTGCACTTAAAGCACTCACAGCGAAAATCCCACGCGCCTTGATTAAAAAATTACAGGAAATGAGCCAGAACTCCTCTTTGAATTATAAAATTCAGCAAATACTAAGTGGGTGCAAAACTGGAACAATCCAGTTCATTTTTGTTTANTTGAACCAATATTCCGACTTAAAACGTTTAATTTTATCCCCAGAGTTAAAAAATTTAGGGCCGTGCCCTAATTAATAGTAAATTTTGTTGGAATCATGTGGTCGTTTATGAAGAACTTGTAAATTCCCGCTTCAAAATAATACCAATCCAATGTTTTTTCTTAGTAAAAATGCGTTTCTGACAAAAAACGATTTGATTTTGAATCAAAGTTTTTTGGTATTCAGAGACCCTCCAATATGCAAAGCATAGCAAATTGCAATTTTTTGTGGTCTCTTGATCTTGCAGACTGAGGTCCGCCTTTTTATCGCTTGTTTAGATAACCATAAAACGGACATTTGGCCGATATGATTTCTTTCTTTATAGCGTAGCCTTTCTGACCGTTTTGCAAAAACTTTAAATTCTCTTTGCTTGGGTTGTGCACTTAAAGCACTCACAGCGAAAATCCCACGCGCCTTGATTAAAAAATTACAGGAAATGAGCCAGAACTCCTCTTTGAATTATAAAATTCAGCAAATACTAAGAGGGTGCAAAACTGGAACAATCCAGTTCATTTTTGTTTAGTCATTTTTTTCTGAGTTTCCATATGCGAATCTTAAAATTTTTATGGTCAAACGTTTAGTTAAACATCGGTAAGGCGAAATGCAAGTTTGAATTACCATAAAGTAAATAAACTGAAGAAGTACATTACCACAACCTTAACTTTCCGTTCTATTGTTCCAGTTTTGCTCTACAGTGTATGTAGTTATATACAGAAGACCATACCAGAAAAGAAGTCCAAAGTATTTTTGCAAGGCATTAATGTGCTACATACACATGTACCTATGTATGTGCCTTGGTAGGTAATTAGCCCTCCACCGAAGGCCATCACAGAAGGTTAAAGCCTTGTTGAAGGCTACTCTGTTTCAGTCCCTTCTGAACAAGAAAAGCACCAGCAAAGCATTGTTGTAGTCAAAAATCGCCTCTGACCCCTTAAGCCTAATTGTGGTTAGTTATTTGTTATTTTTTATTTTTTAAACTACAAAAAATTAAATCCTACCTCAAAACCACTCAAGGATACTACTTAATATTTCTCAATTTAAAGTCTGTCATCCATTAGCCCCTTGGTAGTTTTATTTACACTTGTTTCTAAAGGAAAAATCAAGCAACTACCGTTATTTTTAATTGTCATTTCTCTCTTCCCAATATTTCACTCAAAGTATTTTGTAAAGATTTTTCAAAAACAACTGGAAATAAATTGAAGACCACTAATCAAATACAAATCGCCTCAACGCAAGACTTTCAGTGTTCAAAACATTAGCTTTTCTCCGTTTGCATCAGTAATTTTTGACAGATATCGCTAAACTGTATAAAATAAATAAAATTTAAGTGCTCTGTGGATAAAAACACAAACTATAATTGATTTATTTTTTACACCATTCAAGTATCAAATACAAACGCCAAAACGAAGCGCATCGGAGGAAAAACCCACAGCAATCCGGCATCGGCCCAGATGACTTCGCAAACTTCATCTGAGTGCGATGGCACCTCGTCCGGACATTACGACACGTATGGTACGCGCAATGGCGACTACCAAATGGCATCAGATATGCTGACAAAGATAAATGCCTTGCGATTCCTGTTGGAAACCGATCTGGTTGCCTGTGACGCCAAGTGGACGCTCTTCGTGGCAGCAGCGCAAAGTTACCGCTACGACACGCAGCTGAAGCCCTTTCCACCGCGCTTCGTCTCCGAGCATGCCGGGCTGGATATCGATGCGCTCATCTCGGTCATCAACGATACACCCAAACTGCGTGTTGTGAAAATAGAGCGACAAAATCAATTCAAAAGTCACACCAATACCAATGCACACATGTACATGGTTGGGGCGGAAATGCCCCCTAAATGTATGCTTTAATATTGATAGCGAATTAAAGAAACGTGCTAAGCAGCAGTTCAGGAATAAAATGTATGTATGTATGTACATGAATAGATTAGACTCAAACAAGGAAGAAGGTAAAGTTGAGTATGGAGAAGAAGAAAGTGATAAAT